CACCACTGCTAAGCCACCCCAAGCCCTTGGGACTCTCTCTTCCCCGGAACTTGATCCTGCTATGGTGGACGGTTGGGATTCTCTGTGGGGCTCCTGGAGCATAAGAGATCTACCTGGTTGAGGTCAGAGCACTGACGGACCAAGTCATTCCCCAAGATGGGTCCTGTTTAGGAGGATTCCTTTGGGGAAAGGTGGATCTTCTGAGGGAAAGCCTGGTAGCGAGGAAACTGCTGAAGACCTGCTATTTCATGCATCTATCACTGTGTGACCAGCTACCTCAAAACTCAGAGGTTTCAAAGAAGAGCTTGTTATTTTTGCATGGTTCTGTGGGTTGACCAGGCAGTTCTAATTCATCTGGTGTTGGCTGAGGTGTGGGACGGCTGGAAGGCCCAACGTGGCCTCACTCACAGGGCTGGCACTGGCTGGAAGCTTAGTTGGGGCTGTTGGCTTGGGACCTTGGTTCTCCATGTGACTGCTTGGGCTTCCTGCGTGGCAGTTGGCCTCCAAGAAGGTGCATTTCAAGAGAAAGCAAGCAGACGAGTCCTTAAGGCCTCTTAAGGCCGGGACTCAGAGATCCCAGAACATCACTTCTGCCACAAGTGATGCATTTATCGATCAAAGTAGTCACAGGGCTAGCCCAAGTTCAAGGTGGGAGGAGGGGGGTGGCGAGTATATGCCACCTCCCTGTAGGGGCGTGGCCTGCACGTAGGGAGGGAATAAGTCTACGATGGCCATCTCTGGAGACAACCTACCACACTTGTCAGTCGCTGACTGACTTTGAGTGTCGACAATGGTGCTCAGCCCTGGGGCTGGATCCTATGGAGGATGCAGAGAGCGATGAGATGGGTGAGTGATGAGGACTCATTTGAGGGCTCTCTAGTGGGACAAGTCAGACTAGATCCTCTCCCAGTCTCTTTCCAGCCTTAATAGCCTCAAGTTGATGTTCACAACATCCCTCCCACAACACACACTACCACCACCACCACAATTGTGAGCCAAAGCCCTGAGGGTCTGGCCTGAGGTTGCCACAGACCAGAAGAGTCAAGCTTTGGGCCTGGGGCTGCCTGCTGGACCGGATATGCTGGGAAGACCGAGTGGAGACAGAGGGGGCCAGTTGGGCTGCAAAGCAGAGAGGGGTGTCTCAGCTCCTCTGGGCTTAGTGCCATGAAACAGGACGTAAAAAGTGGGCTCAGACGTCAGCGCCTTTGCCCTCTGGGTTTGAGCCTTTCAGGAGCTCCAGGGTTTTTTTTTTTGTTTTTTGTTTTTTAACCCAGAGGCCACATCAGTGTCATGGAGCCCAAATTGGAACTGAATGCCAAAGTCAGAGCTTGGAGGGAAAGTCAGGGCCAGCCCAGGAGAAGGAGGGGAACTTCTGTGGCCCCAAGCCAGCCACCTGGTGAGTTCCAGGAAGCACTACTTGGGCCCTGGAGCCCACAGCCTTGCCCCAGTGGGCTTTGGGCACTGTTGACCCATCAACCCACTTGAAGGTGTGGCCTAGCCAACCCAGGCTGACTCACATCCTTCCTAGGCCTCTACTCCCGCCCTCATCAATGCAGAATGCTCAAGAGTACCTCTATGCTCCTGCAGTGCCCCCCCCCCGCCACGTCCTCTTCACAGACCCTCTGCTCAGGGAGAGCCCACCTGGGCTCCAGGGATGGGGAGACCGGACTTGGAGAAGGAATGTTGCCAAATCCTGCTTCCCCGGGCTCAAAGATCAGAAAGCAGAAAGGCAGATGGACAGACCAAACCTGGGCTCACCCCTCACCAAGGGCCCAGGCAGACCACGGGTCTCTGAACCCCACAGTTAGTGGTGCTACACCTGCTCCCTTGAAGGTCCCAGGTCTGAAAGTGGGGGGCTGCAGGAATAGCTTTTTTCACCTTTGGGTATAGTTTTGTCATTTTCTGGAGCTGGGCTGGCTGGGTGGGCCCTCCCGGCAAGGCCACGAGAAGCCTGGCTCCCTCGCCCAACTGTCCACCCAAACCTGGTGATTCCAACTCCCCATCTCACATACCTGAGTCCAGGCTGCCTTCGTCTCTCACCTCCTCTCCCAGCTCCCTGTCCGAGCCCGCTGATGATCTCTGACACTCAGCTGCAACCAGGCCCTCTCCTGGCTTAAGAGCCCTCGGTGGCCATGTGGCCCCCGCCCCCACCCTCTGCACTGCTAATTCTAAGGCTTTTGCATGTGCTGTCTATCTGTGTCCTCCCCAATCTCCCTCACCTGGCCCTCTCCATTTCCTCCTTCAGGCCCAAAGTCTCCCCTGACTCCTCAGACGATTTCAGAAGTAATTATGCACCAGAGATTCTCAGTCCTGGCTACAAGCTGGAATCACCTAGGGAACTTTGATTAAAAAAGCCCAGTGTCCAGTCCCGCCTTATCACCACCTGAATCCAAATTGCTGGGTGGAGGCCCTATAGCCATGTGATTTAAAATTCCTCCAGGTGATTCAAATATGCAGCCAGGTTTGAGACCCTCCCATTCTAGATGCTTCTGTACCATGAGTTTTGCTGTCACAAACCCAGCACCTCGCCCTACATGGAGCATCTATTAGGTACTAATGAAACATTGGCTTAGCGGATGATGAGACCCACCCTTGACCCACCAGGCTCCTCACTGCCTCACCTGCCCCATCTCCCCGGCTTCACTTCTCCACTCTCCCATCCACAGTACCCTGAAAGTGCTGTGCTCTCTCCAAGCCTCCCCCAACATGTAGTTCCTAGATCCTGCAATTCCTCAGGGCTCTGCTGAAACGCCCCTTCCTCAGGGAAGCTGTCCAGCTGGCCTCAGTCCCCTTGCCCCCTGCTCCCATCCCCTCTGGACTTTCCTCTTGGTACCTCTCATCACCCAGAAGTCAGCTCTGTCTCCCCTCCTCCCCTAAGAGGCAGAAGCCTCTTCTGTCTTTTCGGGACCAATCCTCAGGGCCGCACAGAGCTTACCACACACAGTGTTGCCAGTAGAGTAAGTCTGTTGGTTGAGTGATTTTGCGTCCAGATATTTTTGACCCTTTGGCAGACTTTGTCCTGGGCCCAGATGACTAAAAGGCCCTACATTTGAGGGCCCAGGGTGAGTTGGTCGGATCCAATAATGGAACACCTTTGGAGGAACAGTGACCTCTAGGGGGCATAGGGACAATGTTGTTGTCTGTAATAAAAAGACGGTGAGGAAATGTTATCCAAAACTGGCAGGAGGGGAACCACCTGGCAGGAGAGAGCACACACAGCAGTGCTGGCTCCCACCTCTCTTCAGAAGAGTAAACTGAGTTGAATTATGTCCCCCCAAAGAGATACGTTGAAATCCTAAGCCCCGGTAGCTGTGAACGCAGCCTTATCTGGAAACAGGGTGACTGCAGCTGTAATCAAGTTAAGATGAGGTCACACTGGAGTAGGGTGGCCCTAATCCAATGTCTGGTGTCCTTATAAGAGGAGCACAGATGGACACAGAGATACATAGACGGAAGATGGCCACGTGACGACGAAGGCGGAGACTGGAGGTCTGCAGCCACGAGCCAAGGAACACCAAGGACTGCAGGCAACCACCAGAAGCTGGGAGACACATGGACCAGATGCTCCCTCGGAGCCTCCAGAAGGAACTAACCTTGTTGACGCCTTGATTCCGGGCTTCTGGCCTCCAGAACTCTGAGTAAATTTCTGTAGTTTTAAGCTCCACCCTACCCCTGCCACCCAGCTTGTGGTATATTTTCACAGCTGCCCTAGAAAACTCGTATCATAGAGGAGACACTGACAAGGAGTCTTTGGGGGAAGACGAGACTTGCCTCCCAAAATCCAGACTCTGATTCTGCAACACTTACTGGAGCCCCACCTGGTGAGCTGACAGATGCTACCAGTTACTCCTCGTCACAGGTCTGAGGGTAGGAACTGTTACTTCCCTTGCTTGACAGACAAGGCAACTGAAACTCAAGAGAGGTGACTTGCTTGGTTACATGGAAGTCATGGAGTGGGGGTCTGATTTCAGGTCCAGGAATCTTTCCCTGCAGAGTTGGTGCTTAGAAAATGCTTATTGTGAAACATAAGCAAACCAGAAGTTTAATACTGGGGCTCTCAGTGACGCTCCTGTCCCCACCCTGGTCTTCAAGACGCCATTGCACTCTCCTGCGCTTCCTTGACAACATGGAGTTCGCCTCCATGTCAAGTCCTTTTCAGGACTTCAGAAGTCAACACACACCCCAAGGTGGGGTGCAAGGAGGCTATCGCCCCTGAAAAGCCAGCAGGTGCTTCTGGAGAGCTGGTGCAGGGAAGACAGAACCAGTCTCCAAAAAAGTAGTGCAAATGAAGAAGGAAGCTGTTTCTGAAACTGGGGTGTAAGGCCGGTGCTCAGGAACTGGAGACCCCTGACTGGCAGCAGAGGGACCCTGGCAGGAGGTGGGAATGAGATAAAACACAGGACCCACTGTTAAATTTGAATTTCAGATATATGGCAAATAACTTGGTATTGCCTGGGGCATACTGAAAAATTATTTATCTGAAATTCAAATTTAACTAGGTATTCTGTATCTTGACTTCAGAATCTGGCAACCCTCACTGGGGAGGGAAAAGCACGTTAGGAGGATGGAGGGAGTAAAGGTCCAGAACCTACAGCTCCCTGTGTTGGAAGATGACTTTGCCGTGAGCCCAGGAGGCCATGAATCCAATGAATGGGGAACCACTGGCCCACTGGGGCAGACCCAGGCCACCAGGGCCTGTGTAGCAGGGTGGAGGGTCTGGGCCAACAGAGAAGGCCAAGTCGTCTCCAGCTGCTTGGCCTGTGAACCCTGTTGACACCTGGAATCCCATAAGGAGCAGGCAAGGAGAGGGCAGGAACCCGGGCGTCTGGGCCATCAACCTGGAGCATCCCTAGGGCTTGGCAGGATCCATGTCAGCAGTTTGGTGTGAGACCAGGCTGGGGTAGAGGGCATGGCCTGTGACCCAGGGAGACTGTCTATCCCCAGGAGTTCTGGGACCAGGCTTCACACCCTCCCTCTATCCCCACAGAAACACCATCAAGTCAGGCAAGAGGAGCAGAGTGTTTATTTACACCTTGGTCTGTACATTAGAGTTCCCGAGGGAGCCTGCCTCTGAGAGCTTGCTCCTATTTGGCTAGAAGCAGGCTGACGGCGGAGAGCTCGGGACCCTGGGACACAGCCCTGGAGCCTCACCCCACTCTCCCCACCCAGGGGCCTGGAGGTAGAGGTCTCGCCCCAGCCCCAAAGCTAGACCTGCTTCTGGATGGAGGCTCCCGCGGAGGGCGAAAGACTCAAGTGGATTGAAACCCTCGGGGCATCAGAGCCGCCCGACAAACCCTTGGGCATGAGCCCCCACGTGCAGCTCATTGCACCTGGGTCCTGGAAACCCAGCCAGGGAAGTGGGGACTGCAGGTCCTCAGCCACGCATGGTCCCAGAGCGGTCCTGACATCATCAGGGGTTTAATGGCACCCGGTCTGAGCACCTTCGGCAGACGAGGAAGAGCTCGGCAGCTGTTAATGTGTGGCAGGGGATGCAGCCAGAAGCCCCTTCCTTCTGCTTGTTTGGGGTCTGACGCTGTTAAGACACCAGACGGCGGTGGCCCTGAACCCGGGCCCAGGGCCAAGCACGGGGAGCCACACAGCAGGAGCTTCTTCCGGGGGCCGGAGGTGCATCCTCCAAGGGGCTCACTGAGTGGCTGCAGACCCGAGACACCCTGACACCCCTGCCGGGCTGACTTCCAGGTTCGACAGGTGTGCTCTGCCACCTACAGACACTGACACCGATGCAGGGAAAGGGTGGGGGGAGAAGCTGCTTGCACAAAGCTGGCCTTGTGGGGTGTGCGGGGCTTCTAAACAGCGGCAGGCCGGAGGACGGGCCAAGTGGGCCCGCGCCCCCCGAGCTAAAGACCATAATAAAGAATTCCACCCCCTGTTTCCAGGTCTGAGTGGCTGAGTAGGTGGAGGGAAGCGGAGCCGGAGCCCAGGAACGGGGATGCGCGTGCAGGGAGCCGGCCTCGTGAGGTGGCGGCCCGCGGACACCAAGTAGGGGAGGCACTATGTACACTTTACAGGGCACAAGAAGGGCCAGGGTAAACGAGAGGATGTAGAAAAGGGGGCAGTGGCAATGCGGAAAATCCTGTACAGTGGTGACAGGGCAGAGAAGGCACAAGGACAGTGACCCCAAACCATGCAGACAAAACACGGCCGGCGCAGCACAGCAAAGCAGGGGGCCAGGGGGAGGCACGCCTCCCGAGTCCCCTCAGACAGCAGCACTTAGGTCCTGCAGGGGCGGCCCTGGGATGCCGCTCCAGCCACCCTGCTGGTGGTGGCTGGGGGCAGACTCCCCACCCCCACCCCACTCCATTACAGTCACAGCGGGAAGGAGCCTATAGGGTCGGAGCACCAGAGCCACGTGGCATCACTCTCTGCAGGGTCCACACTTTTAGAAACAGATCTTTCTAGAAAGCAGCCTCTTTTCCCGGGGAGGTGGAGTGTGGCTGAAGGGCGGGCAGGCAGCCCCACTGTTCTGGCCACTCCTCCCTCCTGAAAATGCGCGCACTCAGGGCAGGGTGGCAGGGCCTGGGGGGCCCTGAGGTCAGCTGAGGGAAGGGACTTGCTCACAGTTACCCAGGAGGGCACGGCCCCTCCCCAACCTGGAGCAGCGTTCCAGAGGGGCTGTCCTCATTCCAGAGGAAAGGCCAGGGAGGGCGCCAGCGATGGAATCCTGAATGGCCCCTCCCCTCGATCTAAAAACCCACCTCAGCTCCTTAAAAGAGTCACTGTGGATCTGCCAGGTGAACAAAGTCATTTCCTTGGCACAGTAACCACCCAATACTCCCCTGTTCTGATCGCATCTAGTCAGATTTTGGGTTTAAATTTGCTAATGTGCTAAACACACCTACCCACAGAGCACAGAAAGAGGGCTTCACTTCTCCCTCGTCCACCAGGCCCCAATGGCCCCTGTAAGCCTGTGCAGGTTATTAAGTCCCTCACTGGAACAAAAGAGCCGTCCTGACCACCAGGACCTGGCTGGGCCAGGAATCCAGCAGACCAGCGACCCAAGCCCCCAGGGCTGGGCAGGGATGCTGGATTGGTGAATAACAGGGGAGAGGCTGGGGTGAGCCTTATTCGTCCAGCCTGAAAACAGATCAGAGCAAACCCCACAAGGCGGGAATCCCACTGGGCTCCGCTGGAACAGGAGGCGGCAGCTGTTCCTGAGGCTGCTTCCAGCACCCCTCCAAACTCTGTCCTCCCCCCACTCTGGATACATCCCTACACGTGCCACCCACTGACTCCACCAGCAACAGGCAGAGACTTACCCACTCAGGTTCACTAACTCTCAGGCTGCTGAGAGCAGCTGGATCCACCTGCTCCTGAAGGTACCAGGCCTCCCATCCTGGGGGAGGGGGTCTGCTAACTTCTCACCATCAGACATCAATACATCAGCAAGAGAACTCCCTGTTCCCCAGCACCTGGGTTAACAAGCCCAATAGCCTGTCCACCCATTTTCTCCGCTTCTGGCCAGCAACCTCCCAGGACAGGAGTCTCAGCCAGGCTGCACAGTACCTTCACTTGGGGAGCTCTTTAAACACTTCAGTGCCCGGGCCTCACCCACACCAATTAAATCTGAATTCCAGAGGTGGGGGGGGAGGGCGGGGAGCGGTCAGGCCCATCAGCAGAACTTTAAAATTCTCCCCAGGTGATTCCAATGCACAGCCCACGTTGAGAACCAGTTTCAGGCTCAAGCGCTCTGGGAAATTGTCAAGCTTTGTGTTTTCCATAGGTCAGAACGTCTGTAGATAAAGGATAATTTCCCTCTGACAATTCTCAAAGAATCTACAAATTTAAAATAACTTGTCTAACCCTGACCAATTCAAAGTTAAACAAATTTTCTTTTTTACTAGAACTTCGTTTCTTATACTGTCCCACAGAATACGGCCCTAGATAAACCAGAAAGTGCTTCCTTTTTAGTTAGACGGTGTATCTAATGCTCACTCTCGGGCTCAACAAATTCTGTTCGGCTTCTGATTAAATACAAGGATACCCCAGAGTCCCGTAAAAGGTGAATCTGCTGAACCCCCTCCCCACACTCCCACCCCAAAAGCCTCTAAACTTGAGACAAGTTACTGCTAACCCCTACTTGGTGGAACTACCAGGTTTAGCAAAGACCCAACCTACAGAGGACACCCAGTTAAATTACAACCACCCAGGGGATTCTTTAAACAGTCCCAGGCCTGGACCACACCGCAGACCAATGAAATCAGAACCTCTGGGAGCTGGGCCCAGTTATCAGAATTTTAAGAACTTTTCCATTTTAAATATGTCCCAAGTATTGCAGGGAACATTTTACTAAAAATTATCTGTTGCTTACCTGAAATTCAAATTTAACTGGGCATCCCCGCACTGTCTCACAGCCCCACCACTGAGCCCTCTCAACCTGCAAAGGAGAAAACGCAGGAAGGGAGCAGGGTTGGCGCCGTCTGCACCCAGAGTTAGGACAGCTCTAGACAGAGCCCACCCAGGGGCTGTGGGGCTGGGACCCCTGGGCCATCTGCCCCCACCCCAGGCTAGCTTTCAAATAGGGAAGAGCATTTTAAAAAGCTACCTGATCTTAAAAAGCCAATTTGATGTATTCTGCCTGAAGGAAGGTTGGATTTAACTTGGGCTGTGTGTTAAATGGAATTCAGTCTCACTTTAAAGTCAGCTCCTTTCAGAGACCTCCGCACCACACCAGGTCCCAAGGGCCTTTCAGGCTCAGGGCTTCCTGAGGGAGTCCGTTTCTGTGGCGCCCCCTGCACGCTGACAGCTTTTCCCACCCCCTTTCCCCATGGCGGAAATGCCTTCTCACGTTGTGACTCCAGGAACTCAGCCTCCGCGGCCTTCCCCGGAACCCCATCAATGCAGCTAAAGAGCATGTCAGGTGTTACACATAAAATGCTCACCCCTGGGGCAGGGTCCCCTGGACCAGGACCCGGGTCTGGCTGGCCTCTCCGCAGGACTCCTTCCGATATAAAACCCAGACCAAAGCCACGTCATGATTCATCTTCTTTCCTGTCCTTTAATTCCTGCCATTCCTTCCTCTTAGCAAATTCTCAAGAGACCCACCCTCTTTCCACTGCTGCTGCTTCTCAGATCCTCGAGGGGCCCAAGGAGACCAACCCCTGCCCCCGTCTTCCTGCTGTGGGTGGCCCCAAAGTCCTGCATCAGACCAAGGCAGCCCCATTATTTGCCGCAGGAAACCAATCCCATGCGTATGCTTAGAAAGAATCAGGAAATGCAACGAAAGCCGAAGCTGACTGGGTGGAATGGACATCAGTCCTGGCCACAGCCCCGCTCAGGGGACTCGCCTGCGTCCCCTGGTCTCCTCTTCCTCCCCTCCTGCCCCCTCTCCTCTGTGTACACCTCTCCCCGACATGCCCCAACTCTCCTTTTCCCACTGGAAATGTTGAAGTAAACCAGCAACTGCAGGGCTGGGGAATAAGACGATACATGTTCTTATGTATCTGATAAAGGAAACGAATCCAACCCGCACAGAATTGAGACAAACTGGGAAACTGAAGGGAAAGTACCAGATCTAGTCCCAGCCTCCTGAAACAAGAGCCCATGGAAGATCCAGAGGGTGAATTTCCACCACGTGTCACCAGGATGGAGACAAAGAGTTCCCTGCCACCTCCCCAGCTGTGTCTCCCACCAGCACGGCATTTATTCCCCAGCCAAGAACCGATACAGGTGTGTTTCTAGAGGCCGGAACGCAGGGGCCTCCCTACCCGGCCGAGCCAAGCCCAGAGCTTGGATTGTAAACCCAAGGCCATCAGCAGGCCGTGTGGAGAACAGAGGCAGGTAAGCAGGGACCGCTCCCTCCAAGCTGCTCTCTTAGAATGCAGCCACGGGGAAGGATGCTGACAGGGCTGTGAGCACACTCCTCTCCGAAAATCACGTCTTTGGTTGTCCAATGCCAGCATGTGCCTTAGACAGCCCTGTCCCCCAGCCCTCTTCCTCTACCTTTTAATCCTTCACGCACACCCAAGTGAAGGCTGCTTATTTTTCACTGTCTTAAAAACAAAGAAAGGGTAAGCAGGGATGGGGAAGTTTACAGAGAACTCTAAAAGTGCCAAGAACTCTCAGAATGAAGAGCGCCCCCCCCCCGTAGCCCCTCTGCAAGCCTGAGTCCTTTGCACGCCCCGTGCATGAGCATCACACAGGCTGCCAGCAGGGGAGGGGCTCGGGAGGGCCCCACACACCCCTCCCTCCTCTCTGAGTGCAGGTGCCTGGGCTTGAAAGACAGCCAAAGAGGCTGGCGAATGCCTGTGAAAGATCTTAATCATGCTCCCATTTGCAGTGGGGAGTAGGGATGGGGTGAAAGAGCCCGTCTCACCGAGTACTTTTTAATCCTTATCCCCAGAGGTAGAATCATTTTATCCAGTATCTGAAACACAAGCTTCCAGTTCTCGTTATTACAGTAACTCCTGAGAGCCGACCCTCTGCCCCTCGCAAAGGGACCACAAAGTGCGTGGACAGCTAACTGCACGCTCACCCTGTGCTGTATGCACGGCCTCCCCACAGACACACCAGTACACGTTACACGGTGGCCAGAGACACATTTACAGTGTGTGTGTGAGGCCCGACCCGGGCCGCATCCTGATGCGGGGTCTGCCCCTGAATCCCAGGGTCCAGGGGTCCCAAGGCCACTCTGCAGCCAGCCCCCTCGCCTCAGTGTTTGATCTCAAGGATGGAGGGGTTGTGGTCCAGGATGGCAAGGATAATCTTGTCCATGTACTGCCTCAGCCGGAAGTTGATCTCTTCCTGCTCCTTTAGGGCTTCCATGAGCTGAAGAGAACAAGAGACAGGTCAGGGCCGAGCCTGGGCTGGGCGCAGGCGGAGCCCAGATTCCCGGGCGTGCAGTGAGCCGGCCGTCGATGACAGAAGGCTCAGGAGACCCTGGGCAAGGCAGTCCCAAGACCAACCTCAGCACTCAGAGCTGGGCTTGAGTCTAAGATGTCACCCCCAAAGAGTGTCAGATATGTAAGTGCCTGGGCCACACCCCCCAACAATTCTCTGAGTCCTGTAGGCTGTAATAGAAATGCCACCTCTGCCCATGGACTGGAGGCTGGTGCCAAGCTCATGTGGGGGCTCCTTGTGGCCAGGGGCCAGCTCTTAGCTCTGTGTCCAAGCTCAGGGTAAGGGGTTCACTGCCTCTTACGATTCATGTAGCAATGTAACCAGGGTATTTCAGAGGCCTGATCTTTCAAAACCATAGCCCAAGAGTGGGCTTTGATGCTAGAGACATGGGTCCTTCTCCCTCCATAAACTGGGTGATCTTGTGTCCTGGTTTCTCGACCTGCGATGTGGACATGTGCAGAAAGCCTCCAGGTCGTCAGAAGATTAAGTGAGGACATACTGCAAGCAGGTGCCCAAGTAACACTAGGGTCCTTCCCCTCCTGCCTCCCCTGGATTATTCCCCCGGTGAAATCAACCAGCCATTTCGGCAGGCTCTGGGCAGAGCTGAGCCTCATCAAGCCCCTGCTCCTCCCAGCACGTCCTGGAAATCAGAGCTGACTTAGCTCGGCCTACAGCCTCCTGCCCTCCCTGCTCTGCCCCGTCCCTCTGGCCAGCCTGGGGCTTGTCATCGGGGCAGGTGGGATGGGGCAGGACTCACAGACAAGGGGCCAGGCTCCAAGGCGAGAGCGGGTGGGCACGTTACCTCATCGCGAGAGGCCGTGTCAATCTCCGCAGCCAGAGACTGGGCTTTGGTCTGGGTGGCAAAGAGGTTCTTTGCCTCGTAGAGGCTGAGGCTCAAGATCTGCCCGTTCAAGTCATCATTCTGATCTCGCAGTTTGTGATTCTCCTGTGGAGGGGGACAGAGCAACATCAACTCCCGGGAGCATCCAGAACCTCCTGGAACCCACTTCTCTGCAGCCGCTGTCTCCTGCCTCCCACGAGTACCCTCCCCTCCTTCCCTCAGGCGTCACAGCCAGTTCAGGACACCCACAGATGATGTGGCCTGTGCCACGCACGGCAGGGAGGGCCAGGGGCTGGGGTGTTGTGAGGCTGAGGAAGTGTTACAGCCCTGCTCTGGGAGTCAAGTCTCCACACGGGAGCGGGTCGGGGGGATGCAGCCCACAGTGGCTCCTTCCCCAGCACTGGCCCTTGTTGAGAAGTGATGCTTTGGGTCTCCAGGCCAGTAGGTCAACTCATCTCCTTGGCTCCTCCTGCAGCTAGGCTCAGGACCCCTGCTCTTGGGGGGTTCTTTCCAGGGGCACCCTCGCTCCCAGCCGGCCAGGTACTGCTGTGCCCAGACCCTCTTCACCAGCCCTCAGCTCTAGCTTTTGCCTCAAGACTCCTAACTGCTCACACCTGGGACCTTGGGCGCCCCCTCGTGGCTGAGGCTTAGGACTGCAGTGGGAGCAGAACCTCCAGCACCTCAGCCTCCCTCTGGGAGTCAGCTGGGAGGGAGGTGTAATTTGCACTGCAGAGTCTCTGAGCACGGGGCTCCCCTCACCATCACGCTCTCGCTGGTCACTACCCCTCCTGATCCCGCTCCCCTCATCCCTAACCCGTCTCCAATTATAGGAGTATTTCTGGGAACCACTGGAAATGGAATCTTGGTCTGCTCCTGGGAGGACCCGACACAGTGAGGCACTAGATGGCGGCTGGGTGGCATCTCATTCTCTACCCACGTGCCAAGGACAGAAGAGTTGTGTCTATTTCTCTTCACAGACTCAGAGGAGAGACCCTGGGATTTCCACTCGCCCTGCCTGAGCTGTGAGTCGGCAACCGAGGTGTGGAGGGGAGTGGACAGTTCCGTGGGGGAAGGTGGAGCGACAGCTCTCAGCCCCTCACAGGAAGCCCACCCGGCGGGGACTTGGACGCCATATCCCGCGGGACAGAGGCTCCCAGGGCCCACCTGCTTGAGCCGCTTGATCTCGTGTTCCAGCTCCACCTCTCGGGCCCGGGCACTGAACTCGCCCAGGCCGGAGGACGAGCCGCGGCCCCTGCCTGGCCGCTCGCAGTCCAGCTTGTACATCTGCAGGTGCTCCAGCTCCTTCCGCAGGTCCTCGATGAGCTGCATGGCAAAGAGGCTGGTCGGCAGGAGCCAGGGCGCCGGGGGAGCCCGCGTGCCCACCGGCTGGGACCCACCTCCTGCGTTGCCTCCCGCTCCTTCTGGAACTCAAGGCGGTTCTGCCTCAGCTTGTCCATCACACGCTTGTACAGGTCCATCTCATCCTTGAGCCGCAGGCTGGTGTCCTCCAGCCGGTCAGACATGCGCTGCCGCTCCTGGACCAGGGAGAGCAGGGCTGGGGGACAGGTCCCATTGGGGCCTGCTGTGCCCTGGGGGCTTTGCTGGGGGTCTGAGCATCCACCTAGACAAACAGGCCACCGGACCAGCCCCCTGGACAGAGGCCTCCGAGGCACAGCTTAAAGAAACAGCCTGATCCCCGAGGATTCCAGTGACAGCTGGAAAAATCTCAGGTCTCTCAAGTCCTTCAGTGATGCCAGACAGACTTAAATAGAAGGCAAGAGCCCCAACAGAAGCTAACCTCCTTCTCTTTTTTATTTTCCCCCATAATATAAGGAAATATATCCTCTGTAGAAATTTTGGAAGATCAGAAGTACGGAAAGACAAATTATTGTTCATATTTTGCTGTCTTTTCTTTGGCTAAGGCAATTTTATTAGAATTTCAGAAACTAGAAACTAGAGGCCTCCGATGGCCAACATGGCTTCTCTGTGGATTCAGCTCAAGAACCAAGTCTGAGAGATGCCTGGCCCTGCCACTTACCTCATCCAGTTTCTCTGTTTGTGACTTGAGTCGAGTCACTGTCGTTCTAAGCTCAGTGTTCTCTTCTTCTAACTGCTGCACCCTGGGGACAGGAGAAAGACAAGAAGGTCAGAAGTGGGGACTGTCTTACGATCAGACAATATGCAGCGATTCTCTGCTTCCTGGAAGCAGCGGAGAGAGACGGAGAGTGAGAATATGAATAGTTGCTCCAAGTGATACTATATTGACTTTCAGCTTCCTGACATCTAAGGCAAAATAGTAAAGCCACTGAGTTATTATTATTTTTGGATAAAAAGAAAACTCATTTGTGACTAAGAACATAAGATTCGTTGCAGACATGGAGATGGGGATGGTGGTATTTTTCTGCTAAATGGAGAGTCGTCCTGTGGCTGTGCGTGGCCGTCCGGGACAAGGCCCTCCTGTGAGGAGCCACAGTCCAAAGGCAACAAACAGCTGTCTTTGTTTTCCGTCCTCCTCCAGCATCTCACCCAGAGCTCTTCCCTCTGAGTGCTCGGTGCAGCTGCCTGACACCCCCAGGCAGTGGTTCTGACCGTCATAACCTCTGTTAGTGTTCACGAGGGATTGTCTTAACATGATTTCCTGAGAAGACAGAACCCGGGCACCCAGATCGGTGTTAAGTGAGCAGTGGGGACAGGCTGTTGGCCTGACACTGGGACGGCCGGGGCCATTCTGGCAGGGATTCTTGCAGAGTGCCGTCTCCTCCCGACTCCCACCTCTTCCACCCTAGAGAGGGGGCTCCCCGGCCCCCACTGCCAGGAGGGACCCCTGGGCCAGGGCCTGAGAGGAATTCAGACCCAGCACCCTGCTCTGATGAGGCCACCTCACAGGGGACTTGAGATGGTGGAGGACGTGAGACACAGCACACTGCAGACTCTGGGGAGCACTGCCAGCAGCAGCTACAGGAACAGTGCCCCTGGAGTTAGGCAAGGGTTAGGAGACAGCACCCTAACCCACACGGGCCCGCACTCCCACGGCCTTCTTCCACCACCCGCCTCCCAGCCACCTCTCTCAGGCCAGCCGCTCAGTCAGCTGTCAAGAGCAGGCAGAGAAGTGATGCTTAATGAAGGCACCAGCCCCTAGGAACAGATGCAAAACAGCAGCTTCTAGAAACTTAAATGAACCCCCGGCCCATAAGAGGGCAGAGCGGGTCTCAGGCACAGGGGAGTGGGGAGGTCCCCTCACCCCGCTGCACACGGGCCTGGCCCGCCCAGTTCCCTCTGGGCCTGCTTGGCCTGCTTGCCTGCCGGCCGTGAGGTACAAGGTGGAAGCCCCCTCCCCACCTGCCTTCCGCCCCAGCTTGGGCCTGGCCGACTCAGGAGGCTCTCAGCTCAGAGACTGGGGCCTCGGGGGCCTGAGGAGCGCGGGGACAGCCGTCCTCTGCCAGAGGCCCAGGGGCCTACCCCGGCCTGGTCAGCGGGAGCGCAGCCCGGGGACATCAACACAGCCCTCACCGGTGTGCAGCGTTTTGCTGTGCATCCTGGCCACTCTATGGGAAGGGATGACAGATGGATACTAAGGCCCGGGAAGTGACAGTATGTCCAAAGTCATGGAGCTAATGGGTGACCAAGCCAGACTCCCAGGTCAGTCCTCCCTTCCCTGCCTGCCTCGGATTCCAGCAGCCTTACCCAAGGCCCAGAAGCCCTGTTCTTCCACTGATCTTGGCCCCTGTGGCCCAGGGTCAGTAAGCCCTAGTGTTCAGGGTCAGGGAGAACCTGGCAGCAGGGGGCGCTCCAAGCCTGGACATCAGACCCAGCCCAGGAATTGGGGTAAGACACTTTTTTTCCTACCTATTCTCTTATTTATAGACCCATGTTGTTCCCTGGTTTACCTAACACAAACACTCTTTTATCTGTTTGCTAGAGAACACGTCCATATGTTCGGGTATCACAAGGAGAACTGTTAGAACAGAGGCTTCCCCTCGCGCTCAGTGTTCCCATCTATGTAATGGGGACAGCGCACGCCCACAGGGTGAGACCAGGAGTGCGAGGACATGGCAGAGGGCGGAGGGTTCCAGACCCTCCCCAAGGGGCCCACCTGGTGTTGAGCAGCTCGATCTCCGTGCCCCGCTCCCGCTCCAGCCGGCTGTAGGCCTCGCGGTGGCGCCGCGCCTCCTCCTCCAGGGCCTGCTCAGCCGTGGTCTCTTGATCCTTCACCATCTCCTCCAGCTCGTGCACCCTGAGGAGAGTGGCACGGAGTCCTGAGTCTTCTCACCCCAACCCAGGCTGCAACCACAGGGAGCCCTGGACCCCGAGACCCCAGGCAGCGTATCTGTTAGGCCTGTGGGATGAGGGACACCATGGCATCTAAGGAGAGGTGTGCCAGCCACGCACGCCACTGAGGGGCAGTCCTGTTAGCTGGTTCGGAGGGGAGCAGGGGGCACTCCCAAGGCAGACACAGGGAGCGCCAGCCTCGCCACAGCCAGATCAAGCAGCCCTCTGGCCTCACTTCCTCTTTTTGCTTTATTCCTTCCTGGCTGGTACCCCTCTGATCAATAGTTCAGTTCACTGGGCACCTGGGCTCCAAAGCTGGACATGTCCCGGCTGGTGGTCCTGAGCATACCAGACCCAGGAAAGGCCAGGCCCCACTATGGATGTTCTAACCCCACTACTGGCAGCCTAGTTGGTACATCAGTCTGGGGGACATGTCACTGGCAACAGTCCCTCTACAAGGCTGACCTGGGATGTACAAAAGGGCCCATCTTTGGGCCCTACGGGGTTGAGGACCAGACACTGGGTGGGGAGCAGTTTACCAAGTTTCATGCCATCCCATGAGACACGCACCACACTCCACAGCACCACCTCATCGGAGTCACGCTCAGCGGGCCTCCATCGGAAGGAGGGCACAGTAGTGCCCAGACCCTTCCCACTAGGGACGGGTGTGAGCCCCCGGCTTGTACCGGCCTCTCCCTCTCCCTTTTCCCCAGGAAGGGAGGTCAGGCTCTTGTTGCAGAACAGAGAGACCAGAAATGGATCCCAACCCCTGCCTCTGACCTGTGTTGGGGCTGCAGCCCTGGGGGGCTGAGGTCAAGCTCCAACCTGTCTCCCTATCCCCAAAGACCTGTCCCCAGGAGGCCGGCACGGGCAGGGCCATGCAACAAGGGGCTGACGCATTCCAGAGCCTCAGAGCTGGAAGGACAGGCAGGTTCCTCCCCTGGCTTCTCCCAGGGGCTCAGCAACAGGGCCAGCCCTCCGCCCCACATCACCGCCGAGGCCAGCCTGACCTGTGCACCAGCTGCGTGTTCTCCTGCTTCAGCTTGCTCTTCAGGTCCCCGTTGGTCAGGCTGTCATTCTCCAGCTCTGTCACCTTTTTTTCCAGGAAGCTCACCTACCACAGGGAGGCAGAGGTGGGGCGAAGAAAACCTTTAAGTCCACAGAGCTGAGAACTAACAGGTGGGGCTGATGGCCAGGATCCCCATGTGAGCATGTACAAAGAAGACTCACAGTGGGGAGGGTATAGCTTAAGTGGTAGAGCATGTGCTTAGCATGCACAAGGTCCTGGGCTCAATCCCCAGAACCGCCTCTTAAAGAAACAAACATAAATCAATAAGCAAACAAATCTAATCCCCCCCCCAAAAGTCATGTTGGGTGGGGTGGTAAGCAAACAAATCTAATTACCCTCCCCCCAGAAAAGTCACGTTGGGTGGGGGTGTCTCCCAAGTTCCCAGGTAGCAGCCAGGAGCACCCCTACCACCCCCAGGGAGTATGCATGCATCAAGCCCCTCCCCGGCCCACCCAGGCCCACCTTCTCTGTGATGTCGTTGTCACAGGAGTCGATGCTGTCCCGGAAGAGGTCCTCAGTGCTGCCGTTACTGCTGCTGAAGTTGCTGCTGTGCATGAGCTGCCTGCGGGGTCGGGGAGGAGCATCTGGCTGCCGGGGGCCCCCAGAGACTGGGGTCCAGCCTGAGGCTATGGCCCGGGGAGGGTGCCAGGAACCCCCTCTAAGGAGGCTACCCTCACCCAGTCAAGGGAGGAGAGTGGCCTGACCTCTGAACTCAAGAGATCAACCCGCCCAGAAGATGGCAGACATGCTGCTATGGCCCTCCTGAGCCCGTGGCATACATGGTCAGTCCATCACAGCCCTTTCCTGCTGCTTCAGATCCTGTTCACACTAGTGTCCCAGCCAGCAGCCACCAAGGGACAGAGCTGGTGGGTGAGGCCCCTGGCCTCTTCCACCTGGAAAATCACCCAGTGAAGCCAGCCTGGCACCACAGTCCCAGCAGAAGGCCTGGACCTCCTGAGACCACCCAGCCCTCTGCCAGGCTGGCTCCCACTACATCTCTGGGGACCCTGGGGGTAGGCAGAAGGAGGGAGACCACCCAGGTTGTGCAGGACAGTGGGTTGGTGGGTGGACTGGAAATAGGCAGCCACTATCCAGGTGACTCTTGCCTGAGGCAAAACCCAGCTGCCACTCCCCAGCGGCTCCCACTCCCTGACAGGCAGCAGCCAGGGTCTTGGCTAAATGTTCCAGCCCAGGTTCCGGACACTCGCTGGATCTCCCAGAGTCCCCGATGTGGACCTGGGGCCAGTGTGCAGGAGAACCAGAGCGGGACCCTGGCAGTCCTGGGAATCAGCTGTGCAAGATTTAACCTGGAGCAGAGTGACCAGCTCCAGTGGGCACATTAATGGTGCATCTCTCCTGCGGGAAGCCCAGCGTCTCTGCTGGTACAGCTGCCGGCCCCAGAGGACAGGGAAGGGTACCAACAGCTGGGGGAGGTGCATCTCTCAGTGCATCCCTGCTGTGCCTGCCTGAGGTGGAGGCCCCTGAGAGTTTGGAGGGGCTGACCGCTGCCGGAAGGGACAAGGGGTGGGGATAGAGAGGGGATAGGGAGGAGGCTGGCCTCTCTTTATCAGGAGTGGATCTCCCTCTGCCTCTGCTGCCCTGGGGCGCCTTGCTCCCCAACCAGCCACATGCAATGCACTGGCTGGGTCTGGTTGTGGGCACGGAGCCGCCACCTTGGCAGCAGGAGAGCAGTGAAAGGGGACAGCATTCAACCCGCATGCCCCTGGGGGGCCTTACCGTCCGAAGGCTGTGCTAGAGATCTTTCGGTTGGGGCTAGAGAGAGAGAGAGGAAAGGGTTATTGAACAGAGGGGCCTCTAGCCCACTCCTTCCTCTGTCCTGACTGCAGATACCAAAGTGCGGACGAGGCTTTTGCCCGCCCACTGGAGGGAATTCACTACCAGCTTGGCCCTGAGAAGTGGCCCCCTGATCACCTGCCAGGACAGAGTCGAGCCACCTCCCCCACTGCTTCTCCGACTGGCCCCACCCAGTCCACCCACCCCTATGCTGAGCTCCGGGGCCTCACCTATTGGCCTTCAGGTTCTTGAGTCGGGCTTCCAGGTCATTGAGCAGGTTGATTTTCTTACAGCACTGAGAGCAGTAAACGTCCAGCAGTTCGCTGTTGTACGCATGCCGCATTTTCCTAGGCGTCTGCCCCGCGCTGGTTCATGAAAGAGAAAGAAATCTTCTTAACTGCTGTCCAGTCTGGTGCCCCGCCCCACCTGCCGAGCTTACTTATTACCGGATTCTTCAACACCCGTGAGCCTCGTGTGTGTTTGGGGGATGAGGGGTGGGGAGTGGAAATACAGACACAGATCTCCCCTCCTCCAGTACTCTCACAGAGAGGAAGCCAATGAGCTGTACCCATTTCACAGAGATGGCAACTGAGAGCTAATGTTAAAGTAAGCAATGACTCAGGTGCGTGGGGAGGTATCAGTATGTTACTTGGAGTCTGCAGGCTCCCAGGTTGGTTAATTGTGTTTCTCCCCCAAGGCAGAAGGAAGGACGAGGAATTCCAGACCCCTAATCAGGGTGCAAAGTCAGCCCCTCCCCAGCCTGGGAGAAGAGCCCACAGAGCTCACAGCTCTGCCCAGGGATGAGGTTGGTTTGGTTCTGCTACTTTTCCTGGGCCCTAAATGCCATTCCAGACCAAGGGGCCACCTGGAGGACACGGACGACCCCAGGTCCGAGTAGACATTGGTCCTGGTCTCGTCGTCAGGGCAGGGGCTGCTGGGGGCACAGTCCACATCATCCGCCTCCCCGTAGTCTTCAAACTGCTCCTCGTTGCTGATGAGCGAGGTGGTGGAGTGCGTGGAGAGGTCTGACGTCGTCATAGACGGAGTGTGGACCAGGGACCTGGGGTTGCAGGAGAGCTGGCTGTTAATGAGGCGCCACCCAGAGCCCGTGGCAGAAGAAACCAGCCAGAACTTCTGGAAGGTCGATCGGTGCCACAGATACCGGGAGCCAGATAAAGCTTGCACTTCCTGACCTGGTAAGTACACTTAGGGGTCCTCATCCTAGGAGTTCTGCACAAGAGATGTCACTGCTTTTCGAAGAAGCAAGCAGAACATTGCTTACAAGCTCATGGTTTACCTACAGCTAGACTGAATTAGCTATTAAATTGCAGCATATAGCAGTGAATGAAATGATCACATACATTATGACTATCTCACTGGTGTTGAAAGGTTTGTAAAAAATATTGGCAATAATGTGAAAAAATTAATGTAAACTATAAGACAAAATTTTAGACACTGCGAGACATAGCATGTCATAGGTCTACATACGGTAAGGAAAGCAGGAAATGAAGACATTTAAATGGTAACAGGGCTTGTGTTTGGGTGGCGGGACCAATGAGTTCAGTACGTTATTTATCCTTCACTCTCACTTTTCCTACCTTTTTCAAGTTCTGTGTCATTGCTTGTCCTCTAACAACGAATAAGGTTTTAAAACAAACAATGAGCTACTAGGTGACATGCCTCTGCTAGTTTAGAGAGGGGATTTCTACTCTAAAGAAGCCAGATGCCACAGAGCACGGGTCGGAGACCCTAGACCCCTCATGGGTGACCCAGCGTGGCCTGGGACAGTGTCAGGGGCTGTCTGTAACCCAAGGACAAAGAGAAACACAACGCATCACCTGCCGAAACATATCTTCCCCGTAGTCGTTGTGCAGGAGCTTCTGCAACTTCTCGCTCATAAACTAGGATCTCTAGCCTCCTAAGCCCCCGCACTCAAAAATGGGGAAACAGTGGTTCTCAAACTTTGCCCCCGAGGTACCCCAGCTTCTAAGATTCACAGTGTCAATGTTTGGGCACTAAAGGTCAAGTTTCCTGGTACCTCCACCCTGTATCATTTATTTACTTATTTATCTGCCCTCAGGTTCCTTAGCACCTGGGTGCTATGCATCACAGGGTGGAATGCATCACACTCCTCACTTCTTTCTCCTATACATTTTATTGAAATATTGGGGCCCACTGCTGGCTGCCTCCTGGTGATCAGTCCCAGAAGACAGTGGGAGCGATCAGATGGCAGATGATCAGCCAGCATGACAACAGGTCTGCGGTCCACACGACCAGCTGTACTTGGGTTGGCAGATCATAGGTACAGCGGGCGGACCGCTCCCAGGAAGCAACATGGATGAACAACTCCAAAGGACCCCACCACGAACAGCGTGACTCCCAGAGCTGCGCGGGTTTGAGAACCTCTGCACTGGGAAAAGGTATTAGGTTGAACCATATGAAATTGCCTTTCTTTTGAAGGTCAGAAATAATTAAAAATTGACAATTCTGTATGGTTAACCCCTCCCTCGCTCTCCAAATCTCTGGCTGTGACCATCACCTCCTTAGGACACATAGAGCTCCAGGCAGTTTTAACTCACTTGTCCTCCGGCAGGAACAGGGCCCCAAGGCCCACGTCCTTCTCCTCGGCAGGAATCCTGATCGCCCCCTCCAGGCCCTGGGTGCTCTCCATGGGGCCGTCCATGTCCGACTCTTGGGGGCCCTCGGGTGGGGCAAGCGTCATAGCCTCGTCCTCGTCCTCGGGAAAGAAGCCGGGCTCCCTGAGGAGGAGCTCGCCGTCAGCAGAGGTGGGGTCTGGCACCTCGCTGCCCTGGGAAGACAGAGGGGGCAGCAGGGGTGAGGCTGGCTCCCCAGGACCCAGCACTGCTCCTCAGACTGCAAGGACATCAGCAGGGCTGGGGACAGTGAGGACTGTGGTGCCGGGAGGCTGAGACCCCGAGAGCTCAGGTATGAGAACCTGGCAGGTGACTGGTCTCGGGGGCTCTCTCGCTGGCGGCCTCGTGACAACCCGGTGAGGAGCGGGAACCCATGGGACAGCCATCCATGGAGCAGGGCCACAACCAGGCCAGCCACGTCATCCAGGGTACCTGGGCAGCTCGGCAGGGTCCCCATCACAAAATCTGCACAGGAAGCTACGGGACTTGGAGAAGACTCCTTGGTGACTGTAAGGGCACAGCCCCACCGACAGTGACTCTGACCTAGTAGAGTTTGAAGCATCGTGGTATAGGGATGTCCGCACAGCTTGGGATCTGCCCTCCACGGTTCAGGGTAGGTCAGACAACCTCTCTGAACCTCAGTTCTTGCCTCTGCAAGTTGAGAATGGCCACGGAATCTTACAGGATCGCTGGGTCATCATAGCAGGACCTCAATGAATAAATCCCGGCCATGGGCCTGCCTTGGCCCTGCCACAGCCACACTGGAGAGCAAGAACGCTAGATCTTTCGATTCTGAGATTTGGGCTGGTCCCCAGTGCCCAGCACCCTGTCCAGCACAATGTCAGTGCACCATAAAGATTTGCCTGAACCTTTTGCTAAACTTACAGGAGACGAGCTCTGGCTCTATTCAGTGATTATCCTAGTTGGAGAGGCAGCTCTCTGCAAACCATTTCTCGAGTCTGCTTTGCCTCTGACGAGGGAAGTATCTTCCACCTGCTCCCATGTGAGATGTCAAGCTACTCCTCAGATTCTTCGGTGTGCTCCTCGGCTAAGAGCTGGCAGAGCCCCCATTAAAGGAGCTTCCTCCAGCCACAGGACAGTAAGAGGGCTGTGAAGTCTAGGGGCTTCGCCCATAAGAACAGGATCGGGGACGTCCAAGGAAGGTGGTCAGCGACAGGCTTGGCTGGGCCTGCCAGACGTGTGCAGCTGTCCGCCGGTGAGCTGGGTCTTGCTGGGTCTACCCCCAGCAAGTCACGCCTGGCTAGGAAGAGATGGCAATTAATGAGCTTGGCTCCTGCCTGTGCCATGACTCGGGCTGAGCACCAGATGGACCAATAAAGTCGGCATCAGGCAGCCAGGCACCCCTGACTGTGCAGGCCAAGGGGCTGTGTAATTAAACTCACCCCTGGTGTTCACACGGCCCTTTCTGTCTAGATGTCACTAATCCAGTTCCTTGTGGCTCCCAACCTTATCAGAGCTCATGCCCCAAGCAAGCGCTTGTCTGCAAGCCGAAGCTGCGTTCCAGAAGAAACGAAGGGAAACAAACATTTATAGAATAGCCACCAAGTTCCGGAGACAGCCCCCTTCTCACCTGACGTCCCACAGCATCACACCCAACACCACGCACACGATGGAAAGAGGGGCCAAGAGTGGCCTGCCTCAGCCCAGGCAGTGGAAGGGGTCAGACCCCCCATGGGGGTCCCTGCCTCCCTCCCTCCCAACTCCTCAGGCATAGTTTTATCCTCTGAGCAGAGTCCACAGCTGTCTGGCTCTTCACACCTGACACAGTGCCCTGTCTGTCACACATACACCTTTCATCTCTCACGACAGACCCGGGAGATCTGGGGCGTGTACAAGGCAGGAGGAGGAGTGGTCTTCTCCAGCTGACACCTGGGGAAGGCGAGGCTGAGTGGGAGGGGGCTGCCCAGCAACAGGGGGCCCAGCTGAGACCTGGAGCCAGGCTCCTGACACACCAAGTCTGGCCCCTCACCCCACCCCCCACATGCACTCACTCAAAACGCCCGCCTTCTCTCTCAAAACTGGCTGCTCCTTACATCAACACCTCTTCATTCACCCCACAGTTGTTTGCTCAAGGCAAGTGGCAATTTTAATTATAACTTCAAACCCATTTCTAGCACAGACGGTCCCTGACGGAGAATGGTTCAACTTAAGATTTTCTGACTTTACGACGGTGTGAAAGTGATACGTGTTCATTAGAAATTGTACTTGGAATTCCGAATTTTCCTCTTTTTCCTGGGCTAGCAACACGCGGTCTGAAGCTCCCCTGCTGCTGGGCAGCGGGGCAGCCGCACAACCAGGAGGGTCAACAGCTCATATACTTAGAACCATTCCATTTTCCACCTTCAGTGCAGCATTCCATCAATTACGGCAGAGATTCAACACAATTATAAAACAGGCCTCATTCTGGGTGATTTTGTCTAAGGTGTTCTAGGCTAGGTTTTGATAGTAGATTAGGCATATCAAATGACGATGTCATATCCCAATGAGATCTATAGTTTTCCCCTAAATTTAGATAACATGAAGACTATAAGAAAAGGAACACATCGTGCACCTCGGTTAGCCCGAGGTGGTACTGGTTTGGTTTCTTTCCTGAACAGAAGTGGCCTTGTCACCCATGCTCCTCCCCCGGGGCCTGGGTCCCAGCCCGGGTCCCGCTCTCTGGGTTGTCTGGGGAAGGCCGGGGGGGGGATGCTGCTGAGGTTGGGGGACAGCGTGCTCCCTCCCAAGTGCCTCAGGCAGGGAGGCCAAGCAGGGGCAGCTGCTGGAAGATGCTGGAAGCCACCCTTCCCCGGCTGGGAGAACTGGAAGTCCTATTAGAAACCCTTCTGAGTCAGTTTCTTCCTTATATATTTTTTAGACAAAGTTATGTATCGTCCTCACAGGGTTTCCAGAAGGCCTGGGGGCTTCCTGAGGCCTAGCCACCCTCCCGCCAGGCCCCTGGGCCAGTCGGGCCCTGCACGGAGACCCCCGTGTTATGCAGGCTTCCAAGAAAAGGGAGATCTCTGGGGAATGTGCCAGAGCTAACGATTAATCTGCCTGGGGGCGGCAGGGCAAATTCTACTGCTGTTGCAAGATTCCAGAGTTTGCGGACAGCCCCCAGGCCGAGCCCGGGCAGTGGGAACCTGAGCTGCGGTGTCCCCGGGACGGGGCGTCCTTCCCACGAGAGGAGGGCATCGATCCACAGGGCACCTCATGCTTGTCGGCACTTCTTTGCCAAGAACCCCGAGGGCTGCCCGCTCCCGACAGGCCACACAGTCTGCGTCCAGGTCTCCCTCCTTGGCAGTGAGCTCCCAGCGAGTCCCAGACCTGAGGCCTCCGCTCTGGAGGGGGCAAGGATCCGGGGAGCAGAAAGCAGGATTTCACAGAAAGAGTGAGACTGGGAGAGGGTACCTTTAAGGAAGGGACAGTGTCCTTGGCAGGCAGCTCCAGAAAGCACCATAGGTGGCCAAATCCCCAGGACCGTGTGGTTGGCCTGTGTCCAGCCCACTGCAGGTCACCTCTGCCCACCCTGCCAAGGAGCCCCAGGACACCCCTGTGAGGGGCTGGGTGAGGGTGCGGCTCTGGAGCCTGGCAGATGGGGTTTCAGTCCTGGCTGGTCCGGCTATTCACAAGCCATGTGACCTTGGACCTGGGGCAAGTGACCTCTGAGCCTGATTCCTTATCTACAGATTGGGGACAGTCACCTCTACCCCAGAGACTACTCTAAGGGCACACGTGACAATGGTCACAAACATCAGGGAGTCAGCAGCCTCAGGAGCATTAAATTCTGCTCCAGCCTTGTTGGGGGCTGCATATTACAGAGGCCGAGCTGCCCCTCTAGCCCACAAGACTCCGGCTGGTCAGCCAGCGAGGTCCTGGACAGGCAGGACGCCAGGAGGCATGCCACCTTCAAGAGACGGGGGTTTTATAGGAGAGTTCTGAGGCCGCAGCCAGCTGCTCCAGCAGGGCAGGTCTGCACCACCAGTGTCCCCCCCTACACCCCACCCTGTCTCCAGAGGGGGCCACCGGCCCTGTCTGCAAGTGGGAACCTGGAGGCACACAGCTGGCCTGTGGGCCCCCAACTCCAGTCTCAAGAGCAGCATTCACCCTCCAGCAGGTCCCAAAGTCACCCCTTCCTCTGTAGGAAGTTGGCACGAGCTGAATTCAAAGGCTGGTGAGAAGGCCCAGAGTCAGTTCTTGTGGGGCCCTTCCAAGCCTCAGAGCGGCCAGCACCACCCACTGCCCAGGGTCTCGGAGTGGGTGCGGCAGGCCCAAGTGCGCGACTCCCTCTGACGCTCCCCTTCCCCCACTGCTCCCAGCGGGAAACACTCTCGAAGTCACACAGCCCATTACTCTGCATTTTCCTGGCAGCTAAGGGACTCCGGGTGACCCCATTTCCACATTCCCTGGGAAAGAGAAGACCCTAAAGGGGCAACCATGGGGATTTTGACATCTGAACCCCCACGGTCAGCATCACAGGGAGCACAGGGCAGTGATTAGCAAGTACCAGCTGGACCCAAACTGTGCTGTGGATGGTTAGCTGGAAAGAGCCAAGTGTGGGGACTCCGAGACCTGGGTGCCGACCCCGGCTCGGTCCCTGGCTGGCTGTGAACCAGCTATTCAATTTCTGAGCCTCATCTAAAAACAGGGATGGAAGTACCCACCTGGCAAGACTGCCATAGAGAATCTAGAACAATACCTTCACCTCACAGATGCTGGGAAAGCGGCAAAGGAGAGCGGGGGCAGGGTGGTGTTAGCAGCAAGCTCTGGAGGCGGACTGATGGGTTCAAGTCCCCCTCTACCACTGATGAGCTCTGTGGTCTCGGGTTCCCTGAACTTCTCAGTGCCTCAGTTTTCTCATCTATGGGATGGAGTTAACTATTTGGATTAAATGAGTTGGTACATACTCTAAGCAGAAAGTGCTCAACAAATCTGAGCTATCATTGTCTTCGCAGTATTGAGAGAAGACAGTCAGAGGTGCCTCCCGGCCCGGTGACCACTCCCCAGCCCCCGGGAGCCTGTCCCTGTGACTCCCAGTGGTGAAGGTAGGCGGGGTTCAGCTTCTGGAAGCCAGATGTTTGCAAGTCGCAAAGCCCGCCCTCTAAACATGCCAGGTGCCTCTTTGTTCCCCACCAGAGTTGTCTTCTGCCCACTG